TTTTTTTGAAAAGAAAGCAAGTGATTCAGACATGTTATCAAAATGCTGCTGTATGACACCTCCAATTGCCGTATTAGATACATCTACCATTAAAGATAATTTTGCATCTTTGTTAAAATGATTTAACAAAACCTTAGATGAAAATTTCTCCCTAACACATTCAAGAGCTTTAATCGACTTGTCATCCCAAACTAGAATCTTGTCTCGTTGTTTACTTGTTCTAAATATTAATCAAATCATAAATAACACCAGTATACTCTGCTAATTTTGAAATATATCTATGATAGTAATTAACCATCCCTATAAATTTTTGTGCCTGCTTAATTGATTTTGGTCGTTCAAAATTTCTAATAGTTTCTACCCTATTTTCAGAACGCTGTATTCCTGTCTCAGAAATGTTATGTTCTAAAAAATCAATATTCGTAACACCGAAAATACATTTGTTTGGTTTGATATTAAGACCGTACTCAGCTAAACGTTGAAAAAGCACATGAAGATCCTTAACATGCTGTTCTTCATTTTCAATTGCAATAAGAAGATCGTCAATATACGCAAAGACAAATTCGAAATTGTTAACTACTTCATTGATGAACCTTTCAAACGTTTGTGCCGAATTTCTAAGCCCGAAAGGCATTCGGGTGAACTCAAACATGCCAAAAGGAATATGAGGCAAGGGGTAACGATCCGGTACAGTCACAATATTAAGTCTTCTAAAATCACCGCAAGGACGCCAATCATTAACTTCTTCCTTTGGTACTAAATGAAGTGGGGAAGCTACCAAGGAGTTTGAAGGTCTACAAATTCCTGATTTAATTAAAAAATCAAACTCACGTTTAGCAACTTGATACTTTATGGGATCTAAGCGCCTTGGCTTAGAAAATGGAAGGTTTCCTACTGTATCAAGTCGATGTGCCGTTGAATGCCTAACAGGTTTGGAGTAATCTGGTTCTACAAAAAGTGATGGAAATTCTTATAACAATTTTGTATATTTATTATCAACAGCAAAAATGTTTGGAAGGGGAACCGAACAAAAGAAGGAAATCGCATTAACCGAAAGATTAGTAAGCGGATCTACTAATCGTTTGTGTCTAATATCAATTAAAAGACCGAATTTGCAAAAAAATCTGCACCTATAATATGTTTCACAATATCAACTATTAAAAATGTGAATGAGAATTCCCGTCTTAATACTAAATTAACATTTAAAAGCTTTTTTCCGAAGGTTGAAATTACTGAACCGTTAGCTGCCGTTAAAACAATATCCGCAGATTTTTTTGTACATCGAAATCTAGAAACCGGAAGTACTGAAATCTCAGCACCACTATCAACTAAAAAATTTAAATTGTTCTGTTTATCAAAAATAAAGAGGCGACGTGTAGAAAACTCTATATTTTCGTTGTTTGTCGCCGCAACAACAGATGATTTTAGTTTAACGAATCCTTACTTTTTGAAAACGTACAAGGTTGTTCACATTTCTTTGCGTTGTTACCGAATTTGTAATGATACCTACATAACCAATTTGGATTATCAAATGATTTCGAACGCCCTCTAAAAGCACTTCTGAAACGATTTCTATTAGTCGAACGCGACCTAAAACTTTTTTGATGAATATTCTTTTTAATTTCACTTAACTCCATAGAAAGTTTTTGAAAATTTTCACACATAATTTCATTTGTTCTGACTAAATTCTCAATTACCAATTTTTCACATTTTGAATTCTGCAAATTACTTACAGAATCTAATTCTGATTTGTTAATTTGTTCCCAAATATTCTCTGCTGATTTCGTTAATTCATTAATGTCACTAATACTTGAACTTGCCAAAATCACACTAATATTCTTAGCCAATTTTCTTAACCAAAGTTTTTTAAGAAATCCGAACTAAAATTGGAACCAGAAAGTAATAACATTGATTGATAAAATTCGGATGGCTTACGATCATCAATTTGAGAATCAGATAAAATTTTATCTAGTTTTGCATTCTCACTTAACGAGTTTCTCTCTATTAAAATTTGCTTTAATGCCGTAAATTTGTTGTTTTCCGGTGGATTTTGTATAAAGCCTAAAATGGTTATTATCATGATGCAATAATACAAGGTGTTATCAGTTGGCAACTTCTCGCTCTAATTCCGCGATATTGACTGCCTTACGTGAAACAGTGTTACTTCTTTAACTATTCTTTGCCCATTAATATAGTTGAATATTTTTTATTTTTTCTCAGTATACACACTTTGTTTTCTTAAAAAGGTATTTCATCTTATTTTATTTCATTTCATAACGAATATACTATAAAAAAGCAAATTTTGTTTAGGAGAAAATGTGAAATTTTATATTTTTCCCCCATATGGGGATTAATTTCTTCCCGTTTTTCTTCTCATTCTACTGAGCTAAGTCAGTGTCAAATCGAGCTGTCACAACTGATACCACCTTGTATTATTTCATCATGGGTTATTATTACTTCTTGCGGAAGTGCAGTAATTGTATATTCGTATTTTGTTATTTCTTGCGTGATATTTTTTGTACTAAACTGCATTTCCGCTTGAATAAACCATGCTTCTGGACAACTTGTCCAGAATTGCGGTAATTTAACAGAAGTAGCACAAATCTCACTGTTATTACGACTGGCATAGGGATTTGCTAATTCCTCTTGATACGTATTGTTCTGCAAATCAATAAGCGAATCGTTTATATTTTGTGTCCGTTTAGATGTTTGTGTGTCGTGTTGGGGAGAATGAAACATTTTGATTGTTATAATACAAAACTCTCAAAAAGGGGAGTTCACAGTTAGAAAATAAACTAACTTATATATATATATATATGTAAGATACAGCTCACCAGGTAATTTCAATGAATCTGGTATATTGTAACGAAGCGTTTTGCTTGCCCCGATGCTTCTTCTAAAATGCTGGGGTATGCTCGCCGTGTCCAGGGCTCGTTACAATAAATTTGTAGTTTCGTGCTCTGGTAGATCGTAATTTATTATTTAATTTTCCTTAATTTCTATAAGAGAACATATAACAAATAATAATTTGAAACATTCGGTAGCGTCACTTGCAGTGACTGGGTAACGGCTCCTTGTCCCGTTATGAGCCCGTTAGGCTGTAGTGGCGTGACTTTGGTACTGGTGGGCAGCGCTCTGCTGACGCCGCTGGGTGGCGCGCTGCTAGCGTCTATAAGCGGTGTTCTGGCCGCGTCGGTATGTAACGCTCTTGCAAGGTGGGTTGCGCTCTGCCCTTGCCGGTGATTGGCGTTCTAACAACGCTGGTGGGTAGCGCTCTGGTGACGCCGGTGTATAGTGCTCCGGTGACGCCGGTGTGTAGTGCTCCGGAGAGTAGCGTTCCAGTTGCGTCGAGATGTAGCGCTCTCAGCAATGCAGGTGAGGCGTACCGATGAGTGGTACTTCGGTGGCGCCGGGAGTGACGTTTTACTCGCGCCGCTGGGCGGCGTTCTAGCGACGTCGACAAGTGGCACTCTATTCGCGCTGGATGTTGATGTTGTCACACAAGGCGGAAGGACCTACAGTTTTACGCCGACTCCGAACGGCGATTGTATTTTTATGAGAAGCTGTTTTTCACGGCAGAAATACACTCGGAGGTTTGCCATTGCCTGCCGAGGGACGACCGCTGTTAAGAAAAAACCTTTTTCTATATTTTTTTGCGATGTTGCTTTGACCAGGGCTTGATCCTAGGCGTTGCGGAGTGGAAGCGCGCACAGCTTACCACTACACCACAGCGGCCGACTCATATAGTGCAAGAAATTTCCGCCAAAATATTTTTTACTTAGAAAATTTAGCTAATTTCACCACTCGCGACACCAGCATCCTGGTACAATCATCAAATTTTCAAATAGTTTTTGAAGTCGCACCAGCAGCTGGTACAATCACACTACAAGAACATACACGGTCAATCGACTTGATGGGTCATTTAAAAAATTAAGCATATTAAGGGCCGTAAACTTATCTCTTTTAAACTATAGTTAAATCGTTAATAGATAAGTTAACAGCCCGAACACTTTTACAGCATGTATGTATAAAAACGTAAGGAACATACAATATATATATGTATGTATATATCAGTCTTTTTATACCCGAGCGCACTTGTGCACAAGGGTATATTAATTTTGTTCACATAACGGTTGTTTGTAACAGCCAAAACGAATCGAGATAGATATAGACAAATGTATACATAAATGATCAGAATGAAAAAAAGAAATCGATTAAGCCAAGTCTGTCTGTCCGTCTGTCCGTCCGTCCGTGTACACGATAACTCGAGCAAAAATTGAGATATCTCAACGAAATTTGGTATGTAGGTTTCCCTTAATCCAAGGTAGGTTGGTATTGAAAATGGGCGAAATCGGACTGTAACCACGCCCACATCCCATATAACGGCAATTTTCGGAAATACGAAAACTGCGATATTTTAGTAACTACTGAAATTATTCACTCAAAATTGATATTTACAACAATTTTTTGACGAAAAATAAGAATATTATACATTTTTGGAAAATGGGCGTAGCCACGCCCACTTATGGTTACATGTGTATATCTTCGTAACCGCTGCACCAATTTCTTCCAACTTTGGCACAGTTGTTGGCCTTGGTACACCAGACCAAATGGCCAAAAATCTTTTAATTCGGACAATAACCACGCCCACATCCCATATAACGGTAATTTAGAGAAATATAAAATCTTCGATAAATCAGTAAATATTGAAGCTAATTTATTCAAAATTGATGCTTGCAAAAGTTCTTTACCAAGAAATACTTTTATGGTACAATTTTGGAAAATGGGCGGGGCACCGCCCACTTATGATCACATATATGTATATCGGTAACCGTTCTACCAATTTGTACCAAACTGGGTGTGGTTATTGTGCTTGCCACATGAAAGCAAAGCGTTGAAAATGATTGAAATCGGACTAAAATTACGGCCGCTTTTCATATAACGGTAAATTTCAGAAATACTTGAAACTTCAATATTTCGAAATTGAAGGACGCCAGTTTACTCAAAATTGATACACCCCGGCTTACCATCTAGCGGTAGGTTTCGGAAAGGTGAAGAAACATATATTTAATACTTGCGCCGGGTGTTTAATGTTCGGCTCCGCCCGAACTTAGACTTTCTTACTTGTTTAGTTTCAAAATTCATCTCCTACATAAATGCAGCAAAAAAATAGATCGAATTAAGCATATACAACTTTTTCATGCCAAATATGAATCAATTCTCCAAAGGGCTAAAAAAAGGGCTAGGTGCAATTTTAAATTTATGTGGCCAAAAAAAGTATGTGGTAGCTAAATCTAGCCACCAAAGGGCTAAAACGGCAACACTGTAGGCTGTGTGCTTGATGTTGCGTGGTCGCGCAGCTACATGTTGCTGTGTGATGTTGCGTTGTCATGGCACCGAAGGTGCTGTCGGGTGTTGCCATGATTCGTGTTGCTATGACTTGTGTTGTTGGTTGTTTTGATGGCGGGTATTTGTGTGGGTCAAATTCCTCAGGGATATTTGGTCCTCACAATATATACAGGCATCAGTTGTGATATATCCGGTGGATATTTAAGATTTAAGTGCGTTATATCAAAATTTGACGTGGTGTAATATGCTTATTGCCAACTGTGGACGGACGTTGGCCAAGCAGCGTTTCAACACTTTTAGCAAAGTCGCCGTCGCCGTTGTAGCTCATACGCAAATTATTTATGTGCTTCAATATGTCAGCGTGGTTGCCTGCTGGTTGGGGTGGCAGTTGATACCGCGATAGTATGGTGTGTGCTAGGGCCTTGTCGCAATAGCCAAAGAAACAATCGGCAAAAAGTAATGCAGCAGCAGCAGCAGTAGATCTCGCTAGTTCATGTGTATTTTCCGCTGAACAAGCAGGTTGATGATGCTCGGCGGCGCTGGGTAACAAAGACTGTTCTTTTCGGCTCAGTTTCTCCTTCTGACTGTGGCTATGGCTGAAGGTCTGGTACGAATGGCGATGTACCAAGGTTTCTGCAATATGGATTGGCGTTTTGATTTTTATTAAGCGGACGACTGATATTTGGCAAACGAGGAGGTAAAATCGGGTTGGCTCCTGGCAGGATCGCCAATTGTAGGATTATGTTTTCTCAAATATAAAATTTATTTAAAATGATTAGTTTTTTTGATTTTGGCCGTTCTACTATAATTTATTCGTTAATTTTGAGCTCCAGGCCGGTTATTAAATAAAACATAGATTTTGGTAGTTTTATTTATTACATATATTGCTGTCGATATTTCGCCTTCAATCTGAAAGCATCTTCAGGAATTATTGAGTTTTTCCAATCGACATCGACAGCAATATATGTAATAAATAAAACTACCAAAATCTATGTTTTATTTAATATCCGGCCTGGAGCTCAAAACTAACGAATAAATTTATTTAAAATTAAATTAAAAATTCTATTCCACATTGATTGTGAAAATCTATAATAAATTTCAAAATTTTTCATTTTGAAAAACATAATATAACAAAGTTTCTTCAATTTCTTAAATAATAATAATATATAGTATTACTCATTTGCCTTTTCAGTAGGGTTTTTGCTCATTATCTTCTGCGTGAGAATTGATCGTAATAGATACGGATCTAAATAAGCGACTAGAACACGGTTGTTTGTCAAAAGCATACGATTTCGAACTGGCGTAAATGAAAATTTGCTAAATGCTATAGCATGAACGCTCTTCGAAAACATCTGTTCGAAAGTGCTAAATGTTGCATTTTAAATGCCGCAAAAACGCTGCATAAACCGATAACTTCATCAAGCAGGTAATCTTATAAGTTTACGCACTCTGTTATAGGGCTTTCGCACGTGGCGATTTTTCAGGCAACTTTTAGTTGAAAGCAAAAATCGCCTCGTCCGAACGGCCTTTCAACTAATCGCTTTCAACAAAGTTGGCCGCCAGCCAACTTTGAACTCGTTCAACTTTTTTTCCTTGCAACCCTGTGTTTGTTTACATTCTGTATCAGTGTTGGGAAATGAAATTGTCCCTTCAGTACGAAATCTATACAAAAAATGTACTTTTCGGCTATAAATTGTATACACTTTTTAATTCGCTCATATATTTTCTTAGTACATTTCCTTCAAAACCAAAGATTTTATGGTATTCATGAGAAAGTTTTATTGTTTATGTACATACGTTTACGTATTTTACACTTTTACAAATTGATTCCACGTGCACACATACTGCATTTAACGCAAATATGTATGCACACATTTTTAGGTATACATCTTAACAAAAGGCATATTTAAGTTATTATTAATGGATAAAGGAGACATTTTCTTTGGATTCAGTACTAAAATTTTACATTTTAATAGCATTTCAAATGCTTATCAAAACTTTACGAGAAGATTTGACCATTTATCTTAATACTATTCTACTTTAATTATTTTTTGTAAAAAAAAACGTTTATATTTTAAGAAAAGCCGTACAAATCCAAGGTTCAAACTTTGTGCAACATTAAAAAAAAAAACAACACACTTTCGTAAAAATTTCGAGCTTTTTAATTCGATTTCCTAGATTTATTTTGAGTGTGCGGTTTTTTAGCCCATTAAATTTTAATATAGTAGTAGGAAAGTATATTGTAAATGAAATTGTATCAAACAAGTACAATTGTACCAAAAATGCCAACACTGTTCTGTATACATGCTTTTTTCTTTTTTACTTTTTACTCTTATTTTAACTTTCAGCTTCGCTAAAAGCCCTTCTACCAACTCTTGGCTTACTAAATTTACGCCAATTGATAAAATTTTGCAATCTAAATTCATTTTCAATAATGTAAATAACGATTCGTGTTGAATCGAAAATCGCCTCGTCTGAATAGAGATGGCAACTTTTTCACTTTCAGCTTCTCATTCAACCATGAACGAAAGACACAAGATCACGCCTTCCCGAAAGAAAGGAAAAAATTATTTTCTAGCTGTTGAAATCTCGACGCCATCTTTGTTGTACGAAGTAAACAACGAAGAGAACAAAAAAACCGCGTAATTGTTGAACGCATGAATAATCATTTTTATTATGCGAATTCTTCTATAAATCATGTCGTTGTGTTAAATTATTCTTTACCTTATGTGTGCACACGTTGTCACAGCGAAAATTAAGAAAATTGCATTAAAAAGCCACCACCAAATTGTAAACAATGAACACATGTAAACAAACGGCTAATGTCAAAGTCGCCCCACTTTTTCGTAAATGCGATTATAACGGGCTACTAAGAAGAAGGCGTGATCTTGCATTTTTGGTTCATGTCATTCAACTTCGTATTCAACTTTTGTTGGCTGTAAAATCGCCCGTGCGAATGGCCTATTACATTACTTTTCGTTTATACATGCGACAATTGTCGTGTTTTCTTTGGTTATAGACATATATGTAATACTTCTATATGTGTAAGCATTCCGAAATCAAAGCGAGACAGTCTAGTACCGTTTTTGTTAATGTATTGTGTACTTGAGTGCCGTTTTTGTATATGTGTTGTGTACATGTTTATTTATAAACGTATGTGTTCCTTTTCTTTCGTACGTGTTTATTGATATATCTGTACTGTAGTGTTTTCGGACGGTACTAGCTCTTACTGCCAATATAGGAGTATTATATATATGGTTATAGAGCACAGTATCAATAACTTTATACTACTAGCACGAGGATAAAGAAATTATAGAAACCAACTCACTAAATGTGAAAAATTATATTTTCGAGATAATATCTATTTAAATAAATATACATATAACATAAGGGCTATTTATTTGAAATTAGGTAAAAGAAACAATGGTAGAATGTCTGTTTGTGTATGAACCATTTGACACACGCAAAATAAACAGAACGCATAATATTTGAACCAGATCTCTATTAGGGTCACATCGTTGTTGTTGAATTTGCGTGCAAAATTTTTATGCGGACCCCGATTATTGCCCAAGAAAACATAGCTAGAGTTGCGACAGAGTTGCATTGGCTTCAGTTTATCAAGTTCATTCAGTGAAAACGCTGGATTTATCAGAAATGTGTAAACGAGTTTCCATACAAATTTTGAATGTTCTTTTATAAGTTTTACACAACTATAAGTTTATACGGTTTACAATGCATTTATAAGGTTTGATGAATACCCTTATTTTACATAATTTGGATAAAGAAAAGTTACGCACATTCAACATCGATGTGATGCTGATAGAAATCTGGATCAATTTGTGATCAACTCTGTTTCGTTTCCTAATTAAGTGAGGAAATTTTAATTGACAGCACCGACAAATGAATATATACACAAACAAATGTTCGGTTATGGTTAAAGCAATTCCAGTTTTTGTATTGAATTTTCAGTTTAAAATTAATTTTTTACTTTTCGGTAGGGTTTTTTGCACATTATCTTCTGCGTGAGAATTGATCGTAATAGATACGGATCTGAATAAGCGACTGGAAAACGGCTGTTTGTCAAAAGCATACGATTTCGAACTCGCGTAAATGTACATTTGCTAAATGCGATAGCATGAACGCTCTTCGAAAACATTTGTTCAAAAGTGCCAAATGATGCATTTGAAATGCAGCAAAATCGCTGCATAACGCCCATTGTGTATGTCAAAAGAAAAAAGGCTTTTAATACTTCTGGTAACTTTTTGGTAATATTTTTCTAATTTTTTGGTAACATTTTTTTCAAGTGTTTGGCAACCGTGCCAGGAGGTTTCGGAAATCCTCGAAATGGCGAAATTGGCACATCTGGCACCGCTGAAGCGAATGGCGTTGCCGTCGTTTGATGAAGTGTCAGTGCTTGGTTGGTGTGTTGTGCGTTGTTTATGCTGATGCTTCTAATTTGTCAATATATTTTGTTTAAATTTTGTGAAATTTAACGAGCAAGGAAAAACATCGTGGAAATAAAAATAACATTGGCCAATAATCGAAGAACGTAGCGGAAGGACAATAATAATAACGTATACTATAAGTGAACTAGCCTTGTGAACAAGAATCAAAGAAAACAGTGGTAACACATAAGTGGAAAAAGCAGAGGCAAAGAAGAATTGTAGAAAGTAAAACGAAACGATTTCAAGTTGTGTTCGTGTAATAAGGAAAAAATTTCGCTGCCCAGTTAAAATTTGTAAAAATTGTTAATTTTGTTGTTAATAAAGCGTAAAAACGCTATTACTATAGAAGGAAAATGTCAACACCCGCACGCAGGCGTCTTATGAGAGATTTTAAAAGGTAAGTAATGTTGAAAATAAACTACGAAGACCCTTGTAAGGGGGTGCAGTGGGGCTCTGCCCAATTTCACACCGAAAAGCACGAATGAAAAATGATTTATGAAAATACGCAGAAGAAATCGGTTACAAGAGACCCGAAGAAATAATTACGTGTGATCTTTTTCTTTACACATTTTTAACGTTTGCTTTATTATTATGTACCCGTCTCGGTGCAAACCAAAACGCAAACACATTTTTATTCTTTTTACGTTTCACTTGGTCACAGAAATGTTGGCTTTGGCATTGTGCTTTCAGTTAGGTATGTATGTTTTTTTTTTAATTTTATTTCAGCCTTCACGAATATTAGTTCGAATCTCAAGCTCTTAGAGCAACGGTAGTTAGTTAAACTATGTATATTCCTGACAAAAAGACAATGTATTGTAATCCAATTCAAGAATATTCATTTATAATTGTGATTGAGGAACCTATTCGCTAGAGCCATTTATTGATTGCAGATATGCAGCTTTCTCTTCCGTATTGTTACTTCCTCCTTTAGTATACTAAGCACACATCCCCACTTGAGGGTACAAAGACTTGCAAGACACCTTGCATTCACCCCACATTCCAGGTGAAAACATTTTTCAGGTTTTATGAGCTCAAATCAAACAGTTTCTAAAACATACATGTCGTCGCCGTCGCGTAAAAGCTGCGGGAAATGTTCGGTTCTTTGTATAATGGGTATTTGGTGGAGCAGAGGCAGAGGGGCTGTGGCACCTTAAACCCCAGGCATTACAAAGAGCACAGTCCAAACTTTAAGAAGTCACCCTTCCCCTCTCGGACTCCTGCATAGCCCTCGGGGGGCCTCGTTTGAAAATGGGGTAAAATTGCCACTTGCCATAGCAAATGTAAACTCGGGATACGCCATCCACACTATTTTTGCGCAGAACACCTTTCCGCGTTAGCGCCTTCGACCGCGCTTAGAAAAAATTACCCTCATCAGTCAAACTCTGGCTACGCCATCCTCAGTACTTTTGCGCAGAACCCACTTCGAAATTCAGAAAAAGGGCATATTTCAAAACTAATTTATTAATAAATGCATAATACGAATTTTTTATTGATTTTGGTCATACATACTTTACATACATACATACAGTTTACAATAAAATGGGTTCCCTATCTGCTCATAAAATAGCTGTAGCATTCAACAATGTTACACGACATGTATTCGGGATAGCTAAATTTGACCATATCTCTGGTTGGAGATCGCGATTATTAGACTGAAATATTTGATTATCTGAAAGCAAGAAACTACATCTTTCTCTATCGACTTATTATGTACAAGGAGCCTGGTTATCTATATGACAAGGTCATTTTCCCTAAATCAGCTCGAATTAATAATTTGATAGTATCAAATTATAATTATCAAACCTCCGCACGGCTATTCTTTGTCAATGCTATTCGTACATGGAACTCTATTCCAATGGCAACTCGCAATAGTCTAAATAAAATCAACTTTAAGGATGTTCTGTATGCGTACATTCTTTAAAATAAATTTACGTTTTATAATTATGTGTTTTGCTATCTGAATAACAAATCTCAAGTTAATATGTATAACCACTGTATTGCTGTAATTGTCTGTACTTTTTATTGTGATTTTTAGATTTACTTTATTATAAGTTTTAGTCTTACTAACTATTATTACCTTCCTTTATCTTTCTGGTTTTACCTTTTATTTGTTGTACTATAAAAGATCGCAGATCTTAATGTACTAATGATTTTGCAAATAAATGAAAAATGAATGGTCTATTATACATACATATTTCCCAGGTTGATTTTCAATCTTTCTTTATACTGGTATGTTTATCAAACGGTGGAAGATCGCCTCTATCACTCCAGTATATAAATCGGGTAGTAAGAATGATGTTATAAACTATGAGCCTATTTCTAAAAAAACGATTTGTTTGAAACTCTTTGAAAAGGTGATTAAAAAACTTTCTTTTGTTATTAAGCGCTTAGTAGAAGCCCAATCAATATGGTTTCGTGAGCGGCCGCTCCACAGTTACTAATTTAGCGACTTTCTCTGGATTTTATGTTTCAGCGTTTAAAAGTGGATTTTAAGCCGAAACCATCTACACTGATTTCTCGAATGCTTTTGACAGAGTCTCGCACTCACTTTTAGTTCGCTAATTGAAGAAAATTGGCTTTCACTCGATTTTTTTTTCCTGGTTAAAATCTTATCTTTCCAATAGAATATATTCGTGAGAATCGAGTACTGTAAATCTAATCAATTTTTTGTCACTTCATGTGTTCCGTAGGGCGGCGTCCCTCTTGTTTGTTCTCTTTATCAACGATATTGGATCGTGCTTTAAATATTCAAATTTTAGATTATGTGCTGACGATCTTAAACTCTTCGGCGGGTGTTCCGCACGGCAGCGTCCTGGGCCCCTTCTTGTTTATTCGTTTTATTAACGATATTGGGTAGTACTTTAAATATTATAATTTTTTTATTATATGCCGACGATCTTAAACGCTTCCCCAAGATAACTTTCGCGTCGGACATCGTTAAGCTACAGCATGATTTAAACAATCTTGTTAGGTGGAGTCAGTAATAAATTAGAATTAAATTTAAAAAAATGCTTCCATATGACTATATCTAAGTCTGCCAATTCTATTTCTTCATCTTGCAGCATCCTTAATAACACCGCGTTACAAAATATACAAATTTCACGAACTTTTGAAGTGACCTAGTAAAGGTCATAAAGCTGGCCGAGCAATTCACGAAACTGTTTTCACAATTTTTTTAACACCCCCAAATTCTAAACTTATTTTTAAAATACTATTTTCGACAATTTTTTGATCGGTTATTTTTTAACCAATTTTTAGCTTTTATATGGCTTTGGAAAGAAGAATATTTGTACTATTTAATGATAAAATAAGTTTTGTGAGCACATTGTATTATTACGTTCAAATTGGCCCGATTTAACTAGTTAAATTAACAAGTAATTTTTAAGTAAAAAACAAAACCAACTTCATTTCTCATATAAAAATTTAAGATTATAGTTAATTTCTTCATGATCCAATGATCGGATTTAAACCAAATTAGTATGGGACTACCTGTGAGGTAACACCTTTCCTTTACAAGAATTATGGTAATCGGCTAATGCGGTCCAAAGTTATGCCGTAACATACATAACAAAAAAAAAATTAATAACCTCCTTTTTTTGAACTCGGTTAAAAGCATGGCTCAATAAACAGGTGAAGTAATAAGGCAGCATTCTCTGTTAATTTTCTGACATTCGGCTGCCATATATTTCCCAATGTTGCCTTTATGCGTTGAACGTTTTATGTGTTGCTTCTTTGGAAGTATTTACATATATTTTGGGGCAATTTGGCCAGTTATTATTTGCATGCAATATTGTTTATTTCTAAAATTTTTCCCACTGCCACGAAATAGACCTTCCAATAAATGTTAAAAAGCTATTTTTTAAGTACAGGATGCATTTCCATACTAATTATTTAAATAAGCGCTTGAAAGGCAAAAGATTTAATCAATTAATCTGTATACACATCCCATATTTAAACTTATTTATTTAAACCATATAGCCATTAATCTGGGCTGCCAGACATTTAGAGTCTAAAATCCGTACAAAGACAAAAAGTGGTGGGTGGAAAACCCGTACGCTCAAATTTGTTTGTCGAGCAAAAAAAAAATCGTTTGTACTTAGGTGAATACAGGAATCGTACTTTCAATAACATAAAATAAAGAAACACATATTTCCACTAATCCTATTTATTTATTGCTTCACAGACAACCTTATTATTTTTCTGACTTCCCAGTGGGAAAATGTAATGTATAGTAATCGAAAAAATAATCAGTAAAACAACCCTTTCCACATTCAAAAATGCATTTTTTTCCCCAGGGCGATGTCATAAGAAAAATGGGGCATTCAATTACCTAGTATCGAGAAATGAATATGTTTTATTATGAAATTTTTGGAACTGTTTGAAATACATTAGAATGCGGATTACATAGTTAGCAGTAATATAATCGAGAACTCATAAGAAATACATTCTACTATTTATCAAGCATGTAATGTATTACTACTTTTCGGACTGGGAGCTTTTTAACAGGCAGTGTGTTCTAGTTTATGTACATGTAACAAAACTTTTCAGGTGGGTTGTCGACCCTACCGAGTAACAGTACAATCGAAATCTACCAATAGATTGTTATACGTAATTTTTAAGGCCTACAATTCCTCTTCGTGCAGCACAGAAACAACACATTCACACCCCAACACAAGGCATGGAATATTAATAGCTGCGGTCCAAGAGACGAAGTTGCACGGCAATTCAACCTTGTTCAATTGCGCCGGATACAACGTTCACCGTCGAGCTCCCGAGCGAGACAATGGTGGAGGCTTAGCGTTCATCACAAACCACACCGTGCAGTATCGTCTTATCGAAGCAGACATCGGCCGCAGGGATATCATCCTAGAATGTCAGGGTATTGTTATCCGGTCTGGCGATGTTGAGCTCGAAATATTTAACGTATATACACCCCCTGCCACTAGCTGCCCGACAGGATATCACCCTAAAATTGGTGCGCTACTCAGAGGTGAAAACCGTATGGTTGTTGGGGACTTTAACGCGTACCACGATCTTTGCCACTCAAGCCTGTCAAATGATCGTATGGGAATACATCTGGCTGAGCAGATAGACGGTTCGACATTCTAGACAATGAACGACAACACACCCACCAGGATTATGGGCAGCTGCTGCAGATTGCCAGATCTAACAATTGTCAGCGCTGGTCTGATAAACAGCGTGTCATGGCGACCTATGCAGACCCTAGCATCAGACCATCTGCCCATAGTCATCTCGATTGATAAACCTGCTGACTGCTTCCGCGGACTACCGGACCTATGTCAACTTTTCCAAAGCTGACTGGAAAGGCATCGCGGATGTTACTGAAAGCGCCTTCACTGCACTACCCATTTCAACCGACGTTCAGGTAGGTGAACGTAAATTCCGCTGGGTTGTCACTGCAGCGGCAGCTGCTTCATCCCAGCAGGATGCGGCTGTTCTAGCCGATGAGCGTGACAACCGCAAATCCCCGTATCAGGGATCTCAATTCGGAGATTCGGCAACTTGTGAACGTACATAAGCGGAAGAAATGGCAAAAGCATCTGAAGACCCTCAACTTCGCCTCTGGTGTGAGTAAGCTTTGGTCAACCGTGAGGTCATTGTCTAACCCGGCGAAGCGTGACGACAGAGTTGAAATATACTTTGGTGACCACGCTTCGTCGGACCCGCAGCGATGCGCGAGCTATTTTAGCCGGCAGCTCATTCTGCATTCTCCGGTGGATAAAGCCTATCGTCGAGAGACTAGAAGGCTGCACAAAATGCCAAAACTCAGTGCGTCTCTTGTTTTCACCAGCGGTGAGGTAAGGGTAGCCATCGGGAAGTCGAAAACCTCTAACGCCATTGGACCCGACGGAATATGCATGCTGATGCTGAAAAATTTGGGTCCTGCGGGAGTAGCGTACCTAACGGAGGTCCTCAATTTGTCAATGGCCGCTCTCGTCATTCCAGACACCTGGAAGATGGGGAGTGTGGTACCACTGTCCAAACTGGGTAAACCAGCCAACAAAGGAGAGTCTTATCGCCCGATAACCCTCCTTTTCCCCTTGCCTTGCTACTCCCGTATTTCACGAACCGCCTGACCCCAGCGAAGCATCAGCATGGGTTCCGTAAAGTGTACAGCACTTAACGCCATAAACACTCAGAAAACTAGTGGCCCTAAATGAAACCGCCCCTGTGAGAGAACTATTCTAGTAGCGTTGGACCCGTCCAAGGCGTTGGACACTTTCGGTCATTCAACGCTGCTAGAAGACATAGAAGCCTCCTCACTCCCACAGGAACTCAAACGGTGGTCGGCAAATTACCTTGAGTGGTCGACACTCGTCAGTAATTTTTAGAGACAAAACCAGCAAGCTACGAATAATTAAACAGGGGGTACCGCAGGGTTGTGTCCTGTCCCCATTAGTGTTTAATAATAATGTCTCAAAGCTCCCTCAACCACCAGAGGATGTCAATATTGTCTCTTATGCTGGCGATTGTTTGATCATGGCGTCTGGGAATGGATTGGATGACTTGTGCTCGAAAGTAAACGGTTATCTCGCCGAACTTTCTCGCTTCTTCACTGCAATGAGCCTTGCCCTATCCCCTGCGAAATCCTCGGCAACCCTATTCACCACCTGGACCAAGGAGGTCAGACTGCAACTGGGTATTCACGTTTATGGCGTAACAATACCGACGGTGAATAACCCGAAAATCCTCGGTGTTATCTTCGACAGTCTGCTCTCTTCTCGGCGCATACAACCGCAATTGTCAACAAAGTACGGAGCCCCAACAATGTCCTCAAGTCGCTGGCCGGCAGCACTTGGGGCAAAGATAAAGAAACGTTGTTGGCAACACAACAAGGCGATTGGCCGGCCGGTTCTAAACTATGCAGAGTCCGTGTGGTTGCCTGGGAATAGCAGGACGCAGTGGATGAAGCTACAGACTTGCCAGAATACGGCACTACGAAAGCGACCGGATGCCTCCTGATGACGTCCCAACACCACGTACACGAAGAGGCCCAGATGCTCCCAGTCAAGGAGCATAACACAATGCTTTGCAAACAGTTCCTTGTGGGGAGACACAGACGTGGTCATCCCAGCAAACAGCTACTTGCAGAAGAGCCCTCGTCAAAGCACGTCAGGAGGTATCTCTACAACAACCTCTGGACCCGTCAGTCTACCGACAGGCCCTGAACGGCATTTACAGGGAATCAGTCTCGAGTTATGTAGTCTGCCGCCCTGATAATGCCGTTCTAGGCACACAACCACCTGACGTGGACGGGCAGAACTTTGTCTGCCTCGGGAGACCCGCACCACAATAGCCCAACTTCGCTCTGGCTATTACAGCAGGCTAAACTCATACCTGAGCAGAATTAATGAGGATGTGCCCAACCAATGCCCGGCATGTGGAGAGTCGCCACCTCTTCACATGCCCTGAGAATCCCACCCAGCTGACGCCCCTGTTCTTATGGACAGACCCTGTTGAAGTCGCACACTTTCTGGGCCTCCCCGTAGCTAAAACAGACGACAACGTTGACGGATGAACCGAGTGAGTAGTGCCGCTACAATAACAACAACGGATGAACCGACCCGAGCGGGGCCTGGTAGCCTCTACAACAACAACAACTAAAATTCATATAACTCGTTCGGATTAAATTGTTTTTGAATTTTTTTCTAGGCATTGTGTATACCTCGGAAACCTATTAGAAAATACTCGTTTTAAAGAATTTTATATTAGAGTTAAAGAATTACGCCTTAATGAGAAATGTCACACCCGGCCCCATGGAATGAGCCATGTGCACTATTTTTCTTTATTACTCAGTTCTAAAGTTTAACAACTGGTCTTATTGCTCAACAAGAAATAAAATGAAGCAAATTTGTGTTATTTCATATTCAATTGGAAAATATTTAACACAAATTTGCGTTGTTGCCATTCCGTTTGTATTATCTCTCCGCCCAACAAACTGTATATTTAAAAAAAAGTGGAAAAAGGAACGGTCTAATGTGCATACAATATTCATATGAACATATCGAGCCCTAACCGCCAAAATAACGTAAGCGACATTTTTTTCAAAATTTTCTTTTTGATGCAGAAATGTATCTAGATGCTCTAGGAATATTTCTGCATCAAAAAGAAAATTTGGAAAAAATGTCGCTTACGTTATTTTGGCGGTTAGGGCTCGATATGTAGACTTCGTAACTAAACCAAGTAAATCTTTTTCTTTTCTTAATTGCAGACTTCAAGAAGATCCACCAACTGGAGTTTCTGGAGCGCCAACAGATAACAATATTATGATTTGGAATGCTGTGATTTTTGGTCCACATGACACCCCTTTCGAAGATGGTACCTTCAAATTAACTATAGAATTTACGGAAGAGTATCCAAATAAACCGCCTACGGTTAGATTTGTATCGAAAGTTTTTCATCCAAATGTTTATGCAGACGGAGGTATTTGTTTGGACATCTTACAAAATAGATGGAGCCCCACATACGATGTCTCAGCTATTTTAACATCCATACAGGTGGGTAACACAACAATGATCCACATACATTTTTAAAATGTGCTATTAATTAAATATGTAACAATTTTGTTTTAGTCTCTATTGAGTGATCCAAATCCCAATTCACCAGCTAATTCAACGGCTGCTCAGCTCTATAAAGAAAATCGTCGGGAATATGAGAAGCGAGTGAAAGCTTGCGTTGAGCAAAGTTTCATCGACTAGCCATCCGCCACAGGAGCAACACCACGCAAATCAACTGTAGGGGGAACGGGAACTGCAACTACAGAATCTGCAATGTTTTATTAAAATAAAATTCGAAGAATGGAGATAATTAAAATATTAAAACTTCAAATACATATACATATATAATACATAATATACAATACGTAAAATGATACACAATCGCTCATATTTTTCAGTCGTGTAAGTTGTGCTGCTAACAAATTCAATAAAGAACAGAATTAAAGAAAGTAAGAAGTAATTGCACTCATGGCAGACAAACCCTGACATTAGATGCAAGCGCGACGCAAGGACCTTAAAATGTAGCAATGTAATCGCTATGCGTGACTTTCAAGTCCGACTGACATTACCAGTTGTTGTTATTAAGTCAATGTTATATCAATACTGCAGTTCAACAAAACTATATTTCTTGCGCTTTACATCTTCAGACTTAATCAAAATTTGTAGACGCAAAATATTAACAAAAATATAAATTCATTAATATGTGTATGTACCTTAAAGAGAACTCACTGCATCGTAGTTTTTGAGTGAAAATTCAGAATTTTTAATCATCATCGCTTTAAATTAAAACTGGGCAAAAATACTCATTACGCCCTTTTCTATTTAAGACTAGCAGCGTACAATTATTTGGCTGCTATCAAAAATCTTCCCTGGTTCCTCTTATATCTTACCGTGTTTGTTTTGACTAACATTGATTTGGGTGCTCAGTATTTGATGAAACATCTCACCAAATAGTGCGCCATAAGAGCGGTACTAACATAAAAAACACTACAATAAACCAGTGTCAATATTATTAAGAAGAAATTGTAGTTCTTTTCCTGCACTCATTGTAATTGTGACGAAGGAAAAATTTACCAGAGGCAAAATTAAGTAGATGTTCGTATTAATTTTATTAAAATTGCTTTATTAAAATTCACTTCAGCTATGGATAAGCGTTTCATTTTTTAACTACTTTTGTGCGTGTGAAAATTATATTGTGGTGTATATGAGTATGCTACATGATGATACAATAAAACAGCATAAAATATGTTACTATGTTTAAGCAATCACCATTAAACAACAACAGCATAAAACAATTCTGAAGCAAATACTTTACATATAAGAATTACAGTGTAATAATAAAATTGGTATCTTATTTCAGTACCCAAATGCAGAAATAAACTTTTTGTAAGCTCATGGTAGGTTTCTAAATTCGACTGGCATATGGGATATTCCAGCACCACTCGCGTTGCTTTTGCTACGTAAAGTTAAGAAACCAAAAAAATTAAAACAAAGCATTTATTAATTACCATTTGTAACTCGCGTTGGAGTTAGAAATGTTCGATCATAACGCGAGTGACCATTAGTCACCAAAAGGCCAAAAATTTACAAGAAAATCCATTTTTTGAATTTGGGGTGGGGGCAGCGCCTTGGGTCCACTTGTCAAATAAGGTTAAATTTGCCATTGAAAAAAGTAACATTAGTTTTTTACATAGCATAATTTTCGGGGCTTTCCTTTTAGCGATTTGAAAATCTTTAACAGAAAAAGTATTTTATAAAGCATTTTCACATTACCATATGGCGTTTTCTTGTCTCGAAAAAAAGCTCCACTTATTCAGCCCTGAGTTAGCGCTGTTAAATTTTGATGTTCTTTTCTCAGCCTTTTCACAGGGCGTCGTGTTCGTTTTCATACATTTTTCAGTTTATGAACCTTTTTTAAAGCTACTTAGGGCCGGTTACTCAATGTCCGGTTAACACTAATCTGCGGTTAAATATCGTTATCGGCGTCTTCGACTCCATGCATACAACAGGCCCGGTGACTCAATGTCTGGTCGTTCCCACGACAGTCGGGTCTACGTAACCGGAACGACCCAGATTTATATCTGGCCAAGGACTGTCACTCCAGCAACACTCCCCAAAAAGTCTTTGGGGAGTTTGTATGCTGTTACAACAACAACAACTCAATGTCTGGTTAACACTAATCTGCGGTTAAACATCGTTATCGACGTCTTCGACTCCATGCATATAACAGGGAGTCGGTAACGTCGATAACGATGTTTAACCGCAGATTAGTTATAACCAGACATTGAGTAACCGGCCCTTAATCTTTTATGAATAAGGCCATTAGTCGATGTTCAGACACGAAAACTTTTGTTGCGGAAACTCAAAGTTTCTAGGGGAGAGAGCGACGAGAAAAGGGGACGGGTACCGAGTCGCCCGTACTCGGGAAACACGCCGTGTGCTCTCGTTCGTCTGAGTATTTCAAGTTGGCGGTTCACAGCTGACAACAACAATTGCGTACATTCCCACGACAGCCGGTTCTACGTACCGGAATGACTTGGGTTTTACCCGACCAAGGGCTGTTGTTTCGGCGATCTAACCCCGTTTAGATCAGCGAAGTATCTCAGAAGTTGTTCGCCCATAGGGCTACATTCACTACGTATTCTTTTACTCAGGGCTGGCATCGAGTCAAACCCAGGGCCAGAATTCTACACCTGCTGTGTATGCCGGAGACGACTACACCACAACTCCACCTTAGTCAAGTGTAATGCCTGCGAGGGGTGGAGTCACCTTAGAGTCTGCTCAGGACTACGGACACATCGACAGTGGACCACGTCGTACGTGGCCCCCTGTTGCTCAAACAGAGCAGCGTCCACGGCTAACCTCAGTCCACCCGAGCAGCCTTACACAGTCACCACAGCACAACAACATAATAACACCACAGACCATACCACAGCCACGACAGACCACATAACACACACAACCGCACCACTACCCACACGCCGCCGCCAACAACTCGTGGTTCCCCCTACAATCTGCACGGTATGTCAGACCAGGATATTCCGTAATGTGACATCAGTCAAGTGCAACACCTGCCCTGGCTGGTGCCACTTTAGGGCATGCTCAGGTCTGCGTACCACGCGAGATTGGACTGCGCTGCTCGGTCACAGACCTCAACTGCGACGCCTCCCGCCACCACCACAGGGCGGCAACCAACACAGCAGCGCACACAGCCAACGGCGGTAAGAACACACGCATCCCTTACACCTCACATCACGACACGTCTCCCACATGAAGCTCCTTCAATTTAACTGCAACGGGCTACAGAGCAAGATTGAGGAGATAACCGTCTTCATGTGTCGGCATGGTATATTGATAGCTGCGGTCCAAGAGACGAAGTTGCACAGCAATTCAACTTTGTTGAATTGCGCCGGGTACAACGTGCACCGTCGAGATCGCGAGCGAGATAATGGTGGTGGCTTAGAGTTCATCACGTGCAGTATCGTCTTATCGAAGCAGACATCGACCGCAGGGATACCACCCTAGAATGTCAAGGCATTGCTATCCGGTCAGGCGAGGTTGAGCTCGAAATATTTAACATATACATACCCCCTGTCACCTGCTGCCCGGCAGGATATCACCCTGATATAGGTGCGCTCCTCAAGGTGCGGAGGTGAAAACCGTATGGTAGTAACTGACTTTAATGCGCACCACGATCTTTAGCACTCAAGCCTGTCAAACGATCGTAGGGGAACAGACTTGGCTGAGCAGATAGACGATTCGACATTCTGCACAATGAACGACGACGCACCCACCAGGATTATGGGTAACTGCAGTGGCTCGCCAGACATCACCATAGTCAGCGCTGGTCTGATAAACAGCATAACTTGGCGACCTATGCTGACTTCAGCATCAGACCACCTACCCATAGTCATCTTGATAGATAAACCAACCGACTTTGCCTCCGCCAAACACCGGACCTATATCAACTTTTCTAAAGCTGATTGGAAAGGTTACGCGGAGTTTACCGAAAACCCTTCACAGCGCTTCCCACACCAACCGACGTCCTTCTCGGTGAACGTAAGTTCCGCAGGGCTGTCACTGCTGCTGCAGCTCGCTTCATACCGGCAGGATGTATAACGGACCCACGTCCAAACTTCCCTGCCGAAGCGGCTGTTCTAGCCGATGAGCGTGATAGCCTTCGTCAGGCCAATCCCGGAGATCCCCGTATCAGGGATCTCAACGCGGAGATTCGGCAACTAGTAAACGTACATAAGCGGAAGAAGTGGGAGGAGCATCTGAAGACCTGTAACTTCACCTCTGGTGTGAGCAAGCTTTGGTCAACCGTGAGGTCACTGTCCAATCCGACGAAGCACGACGATAGAGTCGAAATTTCCTTCGTCGGACCCGGAGCGATGCGCGAGCTATTTTAGTCGGTAGTTCATACTGCATCCCCCGGTGGATAAAGCCAAGCGTCGAGTGACCAGAAGGCTGCACAAACTGCCAACAACCTGTGCCCCCTTGCTTTCACTTGCGGTGAAGTTCAGGTGGCCATCGGGAAGGCGAAAGCCTCCAAAGCCATGGGTCCCGACGGAATATGCATGCTGATGCTGAAAAATTTGGATCCTGCGGGGGTAGCGTACCTAACGGAGGTCCTCAATTTGTCTTTGGCCACTCTCATCATCCCAGACATCTGGAAGGTGGGGAGAGTGGTCCCACTGCTCAAACCGGGGAAACCTGGCAACAAAAGAGATTCTTATCGTCCGATAACACTCCTTTCCCCGGTAGCGAAGACACTCGAGGCCTTGCTACTCCCGTATTTCACAAACCACTTGACCCCAGCGAAGCATCGGCATGGTTTTCGTAAAGTGCACAGTACAACAACAGCACTTAACGCCATAAACACTCAGATAACTCGCGGCCTTAACCGAAACCGTCCCTGTGAGAGAACGATTCTAGTAGCGTTGGACTTGTCAAAGGCGTTTGACACCGTCTGCCATTCCACGCTCCTAGAAGATATAGAGGCCTCCTCTCTCCCACAGAGGCTCAAACGGTGGTCGGCAAATTATCTGAGTGGTCGACACTCGTCGGTAATGTTTAGAGACAAAACGAGTAAATTCAGAAAAATAAAACAGAAGGTTCCCCAGGGTGGTGTCCTTTCCCCGCGACTGTTTAACTTTTACATTTCAAAGCTCCCTCAACCACCAGAGGGAGTCTCGATTGTCTCTTACGCCGACGATTGCTCGATCATGGCGACTGGGAATGGAATTGATGACCTGTGTTCGAAAGTAAACGGGTATCTCTCCGAACTTTCTCGCTTCTTCACTGCAAAGTGTCTAGCCCTCTCCTCTACGAAATCCTCTGCGACCCTGTTCACAACCTGGACGAAGGAGGTCAGGCTACCGCTGGGAATTCACGTCGATGACACCAATTCCGACGGTGAATAACCCCCAAATGCTCGGAGAAACATTCGACAGCCTGCTCTCCTTCTCTGCGCACGCAACCGCTATTGTCAATAAAGTACAGAGCCGCAACAAGGTCTTCAAGTCGCTAGCCGGCAGTACTTGGGGCAAAGACAAAAAACGTTGCTGGCAACATACAAGGCAATAGGCCGGCCGGTTTTGAACTACGCAGCGCCAGTGTAGTCCCCGAGGACTAGTAGGACGCAGTTGACGAAGCTACAGACTGTCGCCCGAACACCATCTCCACGGCGAGGCGCAAATGCGCCCCGTAAAGGAGCACAACATAATGCTCTGCAAGCAGTTCCTGATCGGGAGCCACAGAAGTGGCCACCCAAACAGACAGCTGCTTGCAGAGGAGCCCTCGCCTAGGCACGTCAGGAGGATCTATATGAACTGACGGACGAAGTCCAGAGGTTCATCAAGCAACCTCTGGACCCGTCAGATTACCGAATGGCCCTGAACGGCATTCACAGGGAGTCAGTCTCGAGTTATGTATACTCTAGACCTGTGAATGCCGTTCTAGGCATACCGCCCCCGGACATAGACGAGGCGGAGCTTCATCTGCCTCGGGAGACACGAGCGACAATAGCCCAACTTCGCTCCGGCTACTGCAGCAGGTTAAACTCCTACCTGAGTAGATTGAATGAGGATGTGCCAAATGAGTGTCCGGCATGCGGAGAGACCCTCACATGACTCGAAACATCTCTTCGCATGCCCGGAAAACCCGACAACCCTAACGGCCTTGTCCCTGTGGACCAACCCTACAGAAGCTGCACGCTTCCTAGGGCTGCCGTTAGTGGAACTTGACGACAACGACTGAGATACCAACCGTCCCGGGCGGGGTTGTTGTAGCCGCTACAACAACAACGACAACAATTGCGTACAAATGAGTTTCTGTGTGTGATTGCAAAGGGCAACAGC